TCTGCCTTCTTTGCTTCCTGAGCTCTCTTCTCTTCCTCTGCCTTCTTTGCTTCAGTTCTCTCCTCTCCTGCCTTCTTCTCCTGGTCCTTCTTTTGTCGGCTTCTTGCGGTTCCAAAACCTCATCCTCGGTGAATGTTTCCTCTTCTTCTTCCTCTTCCACTATTACGTCATAGTCCTCTTCTTTTGTCTCATCTTCAACCTTGTTTGGCTTCTGATCCTGTTGAAGATTCGGGGCACAATTTCTCTAGAATTAGACCGGAACGTTGCAACACGACGTTCAACCAAAACACATGATCCCAGGGTTTCAATGGTGAAGTTTTAGCTTCGTCTTCAACAACAACCAAGTTTTACATCATAGACTTTCCTTACTCGAGTGTTTTGTAAAGTAAAAGTTCTAGTGTCACCGGCCTCTGTTCCAAGCTGTGGGGATACTTGTGGCTGTCTGATGGATCGCGTTCGCTTCACCACTCCAGCTTCCTAATGCAGAAGAACTCATCACACATGTAAGAAACAGTTCGCTAACATGAGGATCACAAAGAATCTGCAGTGTCCTCGTAGATCATTGAAATGAGGGCTTTGAGCTTTGTCATGTTACTATCTCTTCTCCTGTGCTTGGTTCTTGATTTGAGGATCTAGGAGGTGACCTTTAAACAAAAATATATTGAACATATTGGAAACAGTGGAAGCGGAGCAGGCCTCCCCTTTGTCGAACGACCATGTCTGGCAATTATCTTGCTCGCCAGACTCCTGTGAAGGTTTCCCTCAGTTTCTGCCCAATCCTCAGGTTTCTCGGCAGTGCTTTATATAAGTTTGTTTAGGTGCTGGCTGTCTAGGCCCGTGGCTTCTACATCTGTGGTTTTGCAGTCCACCAACTTCCAATCCAACGCGACGGTCACCAACACCTCCTCCCACAATCTCAACAATATTTAAAATATTGAAACTTTCAATACACATGTAGTCCGGCCCTGTAGCATACACAGCAAGCACACCGAATTGTCCCACGAAGATCAGACTCACCATATCAGACCGAGCCTTCGTTTCCTTCTCGGTTGGTGGCTGGAGTGCGAAGGTAGGCAACCAGCTCATTGCAAAGTTAGTGTTGTTCGTAGTCTGGATCTGGCATTGTGTGGGTAGCGAGTTTCATTGAAGAGGTCATGGAAAACAAAGGTTTTGATCAAACTGGT